ATTAAATATATTTTATAAATAAATAGTTTTTTAATTAATAAACTAATGTATTAAAATAATATCATAAAGTAAAATATATTTGATTAAACGATGTATTAAGATTCGTCTTATTTGTCTTCTTAAGAAGCGTATCTTTAAAAAATAATTCACGAAATCTTTAATTTTCATGTAACGTCATGAAAAAAGCTAGTAGAAAAAGTATACTTGTTGAATACCGTTAGATTAGATCGCTTAAATTCAATCAAAGAACTTATTGATTATAATAACGTCATAAGAAGTACAAGAGTTGATTTTATAGACTTAAAAGTTCAATTAAACACTCTATTAAAGTTCTTAGGGGTCGTTTACTAAACACTTACTTGATAAGTACTTACCGGATAAATTTCCTAATCGAATGAACATGAGAAGGGTCAAGAATCTTACCGGGTAAGAGCAACGAAAATGATGGAGAGTCTTACCCGGTAAGCGAGGATGACGACTCTTACCTAGGTAAGCGCTTACCCAGGTAAGCGCTTACCCACTAAATTGTTGCATTCGATGTGTTTTAATATACTAAAATCTAACACATCAAAATTAATCATAGTGTTGACTTCTATCGGTAAACGTTTACCAGGAAAACAATTTGGTAAACGACCCCTTAGTCATCCTAGCAAACCAATTTTATTGTAGTGAACGTTTAAACTGGGCCCTTGGCCACATGACCCGTCTTAATGATAAGGTCAAAGAAACGTACGACCTTTTTGAGGGCTTTAAAACATCTTGTATAACTTAAGAGACCATGGTCAATTCTATTAATATGTTAATAATCATATTATTAATTTGAATTGGTTGATTCTATTTGTAACCCCCCCCCCCCCCTCTTATATGAACGGTATTACTGTCAAGTTTGAATATACGCAACATAGTATTTTATTTGTGGTTGATTTTATAATTATACTACGCCTTTGTTTAATTCAATCAAATTTAAACGAATTTGAATTTGTAATCGACTCAAAAATACTAGGGGTGTTCAAAAAAACCGTCGGACCGCTCAAACCGGCCGAACCAAGTCAAACCGGACCGTTTTTGGCGGTTTGAGCGGTTGGCGGTCCGGTCTGGTTTGGAAAATAGCAAAACTGGGCGGTCCGGTCCGGTTTGCGGTCTGAAACCTTTTTTGGACGGTTTGGACCAAACCGACCGCCAAATATATCCCTAAGCCTAACATCTAACATAATCAAAATCGTCACCTAAAACCATTAAATATATCGACACATTTAATATTGATGGTAAAATTTTGAAGTCCCTCGAGAACTCTATCACTGTATCAATCTTTCTAATCCATGTTTTGATTTCGGCACACATCATGAAGATATCAACCAATTGATTCAACCAACTTAGATTTGGCTTCTATTTTGTTTGGTCAAGAACTCAAGAGTCAGTAATTGAACTATTGAAGGTTGTGAAGTCGTGGATTTTGTTACTCAATACTCATAGAGGAGTTGTAACTTTGTTAATTTGTTTGTTTTCTAATATGTATTATATATTTATTTGTTTGTACTTTGGATTGCTTCGACTTTGTACTCAATAGCTGCTTAATTATTACATTTATTTGTTTAGATATTTTGTTTTGTTAAAATGGATATTTAATCTAAAATTCTAAATTATATATGTTTTTTAAGTTTAATGTTTAAAGTCCATTAAAGGCCCAAACCGCCTAAACTGGTCAGACCAGACCGCCTTTTCGTGGTCTGGTTTGACCAGTCTGAGCACTTGATGTCAAACCGCTCGGTTTGAAAATTTTATAAATCGCCCTTACGGTTTGGTTTGTGGTCTGAGGGGTTAAACCGCCCAAACCGGACCGTGAACACCCCTAACAAACACATATTTAAGCTCAAAGTTCTTTTTGAAGTATATAATATTTATATACAACAAAATGCAACAAATAAACTCACACATCTCTCCTCACTTATGGTGAGGTTTGAACCTCTGACCTCCTAGGAGACCAAAGACTACGATACCGCTAGGCCAAAAGCCCTTTGGTTTAAACTCAATGTTAATTGACAATCTTACATTAAATTCCAATTTCACATATAGCATTTGAATGAGGATAATATCTTAATTCTATTAATCCAAAAATTTCCATAAATGAATATCTAAATATCATGTGAATCTAGCTATAAAGGAATAAATTTTCTAACATTTATCTTTAAATTTGGTAAACATACAAATGATAACAATATCAACTACAACTTTGTAGTGATTATTGTTTTTATATAATTTATGTACAAAATATATATATATATATATATATATATATAGAGAGAGAGAGAGAGAGAGAAAGAAAGAGGTTCAGAGACAACATCATGAAAATAAGAGAACACGACAACGCCTATATCACAAGTGATTTTATACTAATATTCACGTGATTAAGAAGCGGCAAAACCTACAAGGTCACTTGTCCAAACCTGTGCAAGCTTGTATGTTGATCATTTCTTAATTACATGTGAAATCGACATTTTTATTTGAATTCGACCCTATATATATAGAGAGAGGACGTTTCAAATGCAACTCATCACATTTGTACAACCAATGCAACCCAATCAATTGAGATATTTATGGAAATAATGAGAGTTCATTTATTATGATTTGAATATTTATGGAAAATAACTATGATTCATTAATTATGATCAATACTTTATATTAAAAAACAATCTAAACTTTTATGAAATCACATATTCATCAAATTGAATAAACGGTTGAGATTCCTAAGGTAGCGAAATTCCTTGTCGGGTAAGTTTCGCGAGTTGTATTGGTTGTACAAATACAAAGGGTTGCATAATAACTCACCTCTATAGGGTATATTTCAAATGCAACCATGTACATTTGTACAATCAATGCAACCCAATTAATTAAGATATTTTTTGAAATAATGAAAATTCATTTATTATGATTTGAATATTTATAAAAGATGACTAGAGTTCATTAACTATGATCAGTACTTTATATTAGAAAATAATCAAAACTTTTATGAAATCATATATTCATCAAATTAAATGGACGGTTGAGATTGAGTTGTATTGGTTATACAAATATAAATGATTGTATAATAACTCATCTCTCTCTCTCTATATATATATATATATACACACACATACATATACTATATTTAGGTATTTGTTCTTAAAAATCTTAATTTTTCAAGAATAAAACATTAAATATTAAATATAATTTATTAATGCATACAAAATATTTCAAGTTTTCAATGTTATTATTTTACCCATCTTTAAATGTTAAAGACAAAGAAACCTCCACTATCTTTCCCAAAATAAAATCAATGAATCAAATAAACAAAAGAATATTTTAGATTTTTTGAAACCTCATCTAATAATGAATCAATTTCCAAAAAACAAAAAAAAATCATAAAAAAATAAATATAAAACAATTCGAATTATAGTTTATAATTAAATTTTATATTATGAGTTGGATCCTAATTTTTTTACAATAATTGCTACTATTTTTGCACCATTTATTTTGCTACAAGTCAAAAAATTGATCCTAATTTGAAGGATGGAATACCGGTCAAATATGTAATTTTCTTAATTTAACCATATGATCACCGGTTGTTTAGTTTTGAATAATTCAGTATAATCGCGATTCACTTTCCTTTACAATTGCCCCCATATAATTATCATTCATCGCTCCAATTTTTGACCGACTAAAAATAGATTACAAGCGAATCGTACGTGCCGAAAACGCAATGTGAGATCTTGGCTCATGGTGCCGATTAGTCTAACGTCATGTCACCAAAATGATACATGTTTAATGCCCGTAGCAACTTAAATTTGAGTTTTGATGGTTAAAAAGACAAAAATCTCAATTGTTAATTGTTAAATTAAATCTATTGTTTAATGTTTTATGTTGTGTTTTGTAAATGCAGAAAACTACCGATAAAATGATTAAATATATATATATATATATATATATAAATGGAAAATAGAATCAAGAACAAATTAATTGCATGCATATTGAAAGTAAAGTCAATCATACCCAAAACAAGAAAAGCCAAAAAAGGGAGGTGAGAGAAAGGACTTACAGGTTGTTGCATGTCCATGTCTTCTTCAAGTGCAATTGGTGGTGTTGAAGAAGATGAAGATGAAGATGAAGATGGAGGCTGAGATATCTGACCACCACCACCACCACCGCCGCCATCAACCACCTTCCACCGCCAGTCTAATAAAGACCCACCAGAATTTTCCGATGAAACAGGTCCCTTTGCTGCAGAATCATCTCCAGAAGAACCCCAAGTGTAAGAGTAAACGAACCCACTTCCCCAGTTTGATTTCTTCAAAGCCATAAACCCTAAAATCAAAACCAGTGGCGTTATAATCATCCATAGAATCTTCCCAGATGAAGAATTCCTCCATGAACCCATCTCTCTCTCTCTCTCTAGCTCTTCTCTCTAAGAAACCCAAAATTTACTTCTGAAATTTATGTTAAGAATCATTACAAAAATACAAAAAGATAAAGCTGTCTGTGTATGTGTGTTTTTCAGGGTGTTTTGGTGTGTGGGAAAAGAAGACTGGTCTAAGGTTTGCATGTATACGTGTGGGAATTCGTCTGCTCGCATTGGTATTGGATTTTTCAGTAATTTACATTTCTACCCTTGGCCAATGTGATACTTACCCAAAACAATACCTTTTTTTCCTTTTGAATTAAATAAAAATATTCATTTTTTATTCAAAAGATGATTATTAATTAATTAATATATGAATCTTTATTTATATTATTTTGACACTAATATGTTTATTTATTTTGAAGTAGGATGTTATATGTAGAGAGGATGAGTGTGTATATTATGATCACATATTAAATCAAAATTTAATGGGGATGATAAGAAAGTTAAAAAAATAAAAAAATAAAAAAATAAAAAAAATCTTAATCAAAATTTGATGAGAATGATAGGAAAGTTAGAAAAAAAAAAGGGTTGCCACATGAAATGGTAACATTAAATGAAAAAGTTGAAATAAATTAACATATTTTAATAGTAAATATTAATATATGTTAACTTATGTCAACATCCCCGAACAAAATACATTTTACGAAATTTTGATATCCTATCGGAATCTTAATATATATATATATATATATA